TTGAGGATGAACACCGCCGTGGTCACCGCCTCATCCCAGAACCTTGCCGGCATGCCTTTAGCATTCATCATGGATCGAGCCATGTTGACCACCGTCTGGTTCTGCCTCTCCACCACGCCATTCTGTTGTGGCGAGTACGGCACGGTGTGGTGTCGCACCACACCCTGATCCGCGCAGTATGCAGCGAACTCCACCGAAGTGAATTCGCCGCCGCGATCAGTCCTCAGCACGCAGAGCTTCTTGCCGCTCTCGGCCTCCGCGTGCATCTTGAACTTCTTGATCGCCGCCGCTGCTTCGTCCTTGCTCATCAGGAGTTGCAGCCACATGTAGCGACTATAATCATCCATGAGTAGGAAGAAGTACCGTCGACCACCGTTTGTAGCATGCGTGATCGGCCCGCAGAGATCGCCGTGGACGAGCTCGAGAGTGTCCTTCACGCGATACTTGGCCGCCTTTGGGAATGGTAGCCTCCTCTGCTTCCCGGCCAGGCAGCTGTCACACATCTTGCCTCCGTGCTTGATGTGGGGTAGCCCCCGGACCATCTTCTCTAGCCGACCAAGCGCGTCGAAGCTGAGATGTCCGAACCGGGCATGCCACATCCATGGTTCCTCGGTGTGCCTTGTCGCCAGACACACCGGCTGCTCTACCTTCAGGTCGAGCAGGTACAACCAGTTCAGGGACCTCTTCACCTTAGCAAGAAGTTGCTGCTTCCGGTCCCTGATCCTAAGGACTCCGTCCATGATCAGTACCTCGCTACCGCGCTCATCCAGCTGACCAATGCTGATGATTTGGAACGTAGCTGCGGGATGTAATATACATCCGTTAGCGCACGGTGCTCCCCATTCTGGCACCTGAAGATGATGGTGTCGCGCCCTTGGATTGCCACCCTTGAGCCATCACCAAACTTCACCGTACCGGTAACATCGTCGTCGAGCTCGGAGAAGACTGCCTTGGAGCCCGTCATGTGGTTGCTGGCACCAGAGTCCAGATACCACCGCTGCTCCTGGTCGGCGCCCACACGTCCGAGGTGGACTTGGGCGCGCCGTTCGTCGAGGTTGATAACCTTCAGGGCCTTCCCATGTTCTTCCACCGTCGTCACCTCTTCCTTCTCCTCGGCCTCGACGTCGTGCAGTGCATAGAACGTCGTCATTAGAATAGTTGCCTCATCATCATCATCATCAGCTTGCGCCAGATGAGCCTTAGCCTTCTTCTCCTACTTGCGATTTGGGCACTCCCGTGCCCAATGGCCTATCTTCTTGTAGCGCCGACAGGCATTGGGGTCGACCTGCTTCTTCTTCTTCGAAGAAGCCTTGCCACGGCGCTTGCCATTGCCACCGCGGCTGGAGGAGGCTACCCTAGAGTTCCTCCGAGCAGCCCACTCCTCCTCTGTCAACAGCAGTTTGCCGCTGTCCTTCGTTGCTGTCGCCTGCTCCAGGCGCTCGTCCACCGCCCGCAGACGGCCTGTCACATCCTCAATGGTGAGGGTGGACAAGTCCAGCATCGTCTCTATAGAGAGAGCGATCTAGATGTACTCTGCCGGCACGGAGTGGAGGTACTTGGAGACCGCCTCCTTTTCATCGATGGTGACGCCGTGTCTCTTTAGCTTGCTGATGAGCGTCTGCAGGCGGAGGGAGAAGTCCTTCACCGTTTCACCATGCTTGAACTTGAGGTTGACGTACTCCTGCTTCAGAAGCTGGGCCGTCGCCTTCTTTGCGTGGTCGGAACCGACGCGCATCGCCGCAATAGCCTCCCACGCCTCCTTAGCAAAGCTCTTCGTCCCCAACGGCTCCCTGTACTCCATCGGTACAGCAACGAGGATAGCCTCCAACGTTGATATGTCATCTTCCTTATTGTCGGTGCCCTTGTCAATAGCATTCCAGAGCCGTCAGGCTCTAAGCTTGACCTTCATGGTCACCGACCACTCTCCATAGTTGGTGCGAGTCAGCGTCGGCCAACTGGTGCTGCTGACCTCCCATACCGTGCGAACAACGACCTCCGGTCGTGACTGGGTAGCCACAGCAGTGCCACTATTGTCGCCTATCTCCAAACCGTTCGTCATCGCCAGCGGTTAGTCCGGCGATGGCGCTTGTATGGCTTTGATATCACTTGTTAGCCCACAGGATCACCGGCTCAGGTGAGTTGACCACTCACTAGTCTTGCCGAGCACCCGCTAGTGTTGCGGAGCACTCACTAGCTAAGCCGATCACGAACAAGCGTTGTCCGAGCATACACACTATGGCTAGAGGTTGAAGAAGAGGGAGAACAGAGCATACACACAGCACCAACGTTGGCCGGAGCCCTGTATAGAAGATGGCAAATCTGAACTCTCTTTGTTGAGTTGCAGTGGCAAACTATATATATAACTCTATCCATCTAGTCCTAGTACAAATTTGCTGCAATTGATGACTAGATAACACAAGAGAGGATGATTTACTACTGTCCCTGCATGTGGCTACAATCCCGGCAGCGAGCCGTTCGACGTCCCGCCTTCTCACAATGCTACAATACCACAGCAGGGGGCCTTTTCGGCGTCGCCTTCCCTTGCTGTGTGTTTATACAAAGAAGCAGTAGATTATCTAACAGAAGACACGTCAAGGAGAGGATGCAGAAAGATTACATGGTAATAAAATATTATTAGTTGTATAAGATAATTTTTAGATTTAGAAAGCACATCCAAGGAGCAAAACAGTCCTATGACCGATGCATGTTGTTCTCCCCTGTGAAACACAAAACAGATAGCATACAAAGTATGCACAAGAGATGAAATGTGTACTGACATTGTTAACATGAATACAATGGATCAAGAATTACTATTGCTGCTTGCCTAAATCTATTAACAATAGTGACAAACCGATAATCCATTTGGATCACAAGGTATATATGTGATATATATCCTGAGCTGGCCAGCTCCATCAAGGGCGCGGCAAAGCCGAAGCCGCGCCTATGTTTCTAGTGTCTTCCAATCAGCCACACGCCTATGCCGATACAGGTTGCTTCCCGCCTCTACTTGGGCCTTTCAACCATTGAGGTCCAGCATACTTCGGGTTGGGCCGAGTCCTCCGCTTGGGCCTTGCTTCCCATGGCACGTTGATGAAGAGGTTGCTTCCCGCCTCTGCTGCTTTTTTACCAGGGGTTTGACATTCTGACTCAACCATTGAGAGACAGCATATTATTGTCGATCTGTCAATCGGCAGGATATGAATTGTCGATCTACCTGGCGGATGAACACAAGAATACAAACAGTCTACCCAGGTTGTAGGAGTAACTAAATTTAAAATTTTCAAACAACCTCGGAGGTTGACAAGGTCTATACAAAAATTATAGATCTAAATACAATCTACAATTTGAAGTTGAAAAGTTTTTTTATTCGAAATCGTTTATAGTCCCAAATATGTGTTTTAAGTTCATAGATTTTAACATTCAAAATTCAGAATGTCTAAGCGACCATAAATGTTCACATTGTTAATACCAAAGTTATAGTGGCCGACATGATCTATATATTTTTTTTCTATTGATTAGTTTTTTATTTGAAGTTGTTTAGTATCTGAAATATTTTAAATTCACACATATTTTGAGATTCGTTTTTTATTTTTAAACAATTTCAGATGGAGACACATCCTATATCAAAATTGTAGTTCTTGACAAGGTTTAAAATTTTGCGGTTGAATTTTTATTGAAGTTTATTTAGTAGGTACAATATTTAATAACATATTACAAAATATTTGTAAAACAAATAGAATCATGTAGGGTGTCATAGTTGTAGAGTCAGGGCCGCCGTAGAATGGCAAGGGCGAACGTCCCCGCCCCGAGTTGCGACTGCAACCGAGTTGGTTACCTATCCCGTGGAGTGGCAACCTCTTCAATGTTGCAAGGAAGCGAAACAACCTCTTGGCGGTCGAAATCATTGACTCCTCAAGTGACCGTGTGAGCCTGACACATGCAACCCAGACCCATATGGAAGGTGATCAGGATACCCTAGGTCCTGACACTGGCACTTATATGGGATCCGACCTGTTGACCCTCTCTCTTCGTCCATTCTTCACTCTTGTTCAGCTCACCGGGTTACTCGTCTTTTCATTCACACTTTGATCGACAGTGATGCCATGGCCAGGCATGGGTGTGGCACCAATGAAGCAAAGAGGGGCTAAGGGCAGCCCCCTCGTGTATGCGAACGAGGAAGCTCACAATATCTCATTGAGGTCGAGTCCTCGAATTTGTTGGGTGAACGAGATGGGTCGGCATTGGAGAAAGGCGAGAGAGGGAGAGTAAGGTCGAGAGCAAGAGGGAGCTAGTGGCAGCAAACATTGGCCAAGCGGTAACCCTGGCGGGCTCAGCGGAGGATCCACCATCCTCCACCATGGTCTGGCCGTAAAGTCAATCATATGTGTCTCCTTCTCACCGTCTTCTTTATGTCCAGGCGAGTTACCTCGCCGCCACTATTGCCTCTCACCTGGCTCTACCAGCGGCCCACTGCCTTCGCTGCCGCATATGACTGCTACCACACTAACCAAGTAGAGGTCGTCGGACCATCTGTGTAATGTCCCCGCCCTTGTTTCGACCAACAGCCTTCCCTCACTATTGGCCGGTGGCGCCACTGCTGTCGTTTCGCCTCACGTCACCCCTGCACATGCCACCTACCGTCGTGCCAGGGTTTTCCCCTAGAAATCCTTCTAAGCCCGTCGGATTCAAGTAATCTCCCAAACCGTGAATCCTAACCCTAACCTTGTCAGAGTTAGGGATAAGACCACATGCATTCTTGTATTGAGCAGAAAATTTCGAGTGAGAAGAGGCCTTAAATCACTCAGATGATGCTTACCTTTACTCTAAATATATATAAGTGAACAACAGGTCGTCCGTGAATACATGTGTAGTAGATATCACTCAAACAGAAGCATGCACCCTTTTATATACACCTAATAACATTTGTGTAGATCCAATCCAACATATAATCTACCATAATCAGATGTGATGAATAATGAAAAAAAAGTTCCCCTAGCTAATCAGACTGCAGAGAGTGGATCAATCTTGATGTTCTTCGCCACAAGCGGGTCGGACAACCTGTGCCTGCAGAGCGGGCACATCTCGCTCCTCTCCAGCGTCTTCTTCACGCACGCGCCATGGAACACGTGCCCGCACCCCGGCCACGCCGCCAGCCCGGACTCCAGCACCTCGAAGCAAACGCAGCACTCCTCCTCTTCCTCGTCGTCGGCGGCGATCCTCCTGTTGGCAGGCACCGGCTCCGGCAGGTGCAGCTCCATGACGACGTGGTAGTACGCGGACCACGGCTCCAGCACCTGGCTCACCAGCTCGCCGCGCATGTGCGCCATGCGCTCCAGCGTGTAGTCCTCGCGCCGGAGGATGCCCACGTCCACGATCACCTGGAGACGCCCGACTCCAGGAGGGATGGCGTTAGCCGCCGGCGTCGCCAGCAGAAGGCTCATCCACAGGTCCGCCAGCTGCTGGTGGAAGAGTCCGGGGTAGATCAGTGGACCCAGAGACGACCCGGCCCATGCCAGAGAGCTTGCCAAGTCGCTGGCAGCAGGCGGGACGGCGAAGTGGAGGCGGTGGAGTTTCGTCCTCCTGCACGCCTCCACGCCTCGCCGCGCGCTCTGTGTCCTCGAGAAGCGGGTGTAGCGGTACAACACGAGAATCTCCTTGCTTTCTTGGTCCCCGCCGGTGGCCTCCGCGGCGGCGGCGATCCGCATGAAGCCGGCGGTGTTCCCGACGACGGCGAACCGCGCCGGTCCAAGAAACTCCCCGTCAGGCACGACACTCCCGGCCGGCGCGGCGACAAGCCTCTTTCTGCTCTCACGAACACTGATCCCGCCGAAGTCCTCGCCGCCCTCGCCGTTGTCGCTATCGTAATGCTCCGCTACGTCCTCCTCGCTCATAGGCTCGTACTCCACCGCTACCGCCGCCTCATCCTCCTCCTCCTCGTCCTCCTCAACCACCTCTTCCACGTCGTCTACGCCGAGAACAAGAACCGCCTCTACCTCCTCGACGTCTGAAGACTCCGGCGGGCCAAGAACACGGACGTTCAACCGGACAGCGGCCGCCACGGCCAGGTCATGCCGCAGGACGAACTCGCCGCCGAGTACCACCGGTGGCACGGACACGACGGGCTCCCTGGACGACAACGTCCCAATAGCGCGCTTCTCCTGCCCAACCTCCGCCCAGACGTTCACCACGCGCTCGCCGCGAACGTACGCCGGGTCGACCAAGGACATGCCGGTGATGCACAGGCGGCGGCCATCCTCCGACGACATGTGCAACACTGCGCCCCGCGATTCCTCCTCCATTGCTTTCGATCCGATGGATTGTCTCTGATAGAATGGACGAGGTTAGTGTTGATATATATACACACAGACAGAGAGGTTGTGTATCGGACAGTGTCTCCATATTTGGGATCGGACACGGAACAACCTATGCCGATATAGGTTGCTTCCCGCCTCTGCTTGGGCCTTCGACCATTGAGGTCCAGCGTACTTCGGGTTGGGCCGAGTCCTCCGCTTGGGCCTTGCTTCCCATGGCACGTTGATGAAGAGGTTGCTTCCCGCCTCTGCTTCTTTTTCACCAGGGTTTGACACTCTGATTCGACCATTGAGAGACAGCATATTATTGTCGATCTGTCAATCGGCAGAATAGGAATTGTCGATCTACCTGGCGGATGAACACAGGAATACAAAGAGTCTACCCAGGTTGCAGGGGTAATAAAATTTGAAATTATCAAACAACCTCTGATGTTGACAAGGTCTATACCAAAATTGTAGTTCTAAATACAATCTATAACTTTGAAGTTGAAAAATTTTTTATTCGAAGTCGTTTAGAGTCCCAAATATGTGTTTTAAGTTCATAGATTTTAAAATTCAAAATTCAGAATTTCTAAGCGACCATAAATGTTCACATGGTTAATATCAAAGTTGTAGTGTCCGACATGATCTATATTTTTTCCGTTGATAAGTTTTTTTTATCTGAAGTATCTCAAATATTTGTTTTAAATTCACATATTTTGAGATTCATTTTTTTGAATTTTTAAACAATTTCAGATGGAGATACATCCTATATCAAAATTGTAGTTCTTGATAAAGGTTAAAACTTTGCGGTTGAATTTTTTTTTTTTAAGATTATTTGGTAGTTAAAATATTTAATAACATATTACGAAATATTTGTAAAACAGATAGAATCCTGTAGGGTGTCATAGTTGTAGAGTCAGGGCCGCAAAATGGCAAAGACGGACATCCCCGCCCCGAGTTGCGACTACAACCAAGTTGGTTACCTATCCCGTGGAGTGGCAACCTCTTCAATGTTGCCAAGGAAGCCGAACGACCTCTTGGTGCTCAAATCATTGACTCCTCGAGTGACAGTCAGAGCCTGACACATGCAACCCAGACCCATATGGAAGGTGATCAAGATACCCTAGATCCTGACACTGGCACATATATGCATGGGATCCGGCCGGTTGACCCGCTCTCTTCGTCCATTCTTCACTCTTGTTCAGCTCACCGGGCTACTCGTCTTTCCATTCACACTTTGATCGACAGTGATGCCATGGCCAGGCATGGGTGTGGCACCAATGAAGCAAAGAGGGGCTAAGGGCACCCCCTCATGTATACGCTCACAGTATCTTGCATTGAGGTTGAGTCCTCGAATTTGTCAGGTGAACGAGATGGGTCGGCATTGGAGAAAGGCGAGAAGCCTGTAGGGAGCAGTGGATCTCACACGATGATGACAAATAAGGGAGAAGAACAGAGAGGGAGAGTAAGGTCGAGAGCAAGAGAGAGCTAGTGGCAGCAAACATTGGCCAAGCGGTAACCCTAGCGGGCTCAGGGGAGGATCCACCGTCCTCCACCATGGCCTGGCCGTAAAATCCATCATATGTGTCTCCTTATCGTCATATTATTTATCTCCAAGCGAGTTACTTCGCCGCCACTACCACCTCTTACCTAGCTCTGTCAGCGCCCCACTACCTTCGCTGCCTCCTATGAACGCCGCCACACTAACCCAGAAGAGGCCGTCGGACCATCAGTGTCATGTCCCCACCCTTTTTTCGACCAACAGCCTTCCCTCACTCTTCGGCCGGTGGCGCCACGTTGCCATGCACATGCCACTACCGTCGTGCCAGGTTTTTTTTAGGAAATTGGAGGGGCCAGGGCCCCTACAGAAATTTTATTAAAAGCAAAGTTTGTGAAGAAGTAACTACAAAACAACAATGCCAGTGGTTTTTCCCTAGAAACCTTCTAAGCCCGTCGGATTCAAGTAATCTCTCAAACCCTGATCCTAACCCTAACCTTGTCGGAGTTAGGGATGAAGACCACATGCATTCTTGTATTGAGGAGAAACTTTCGAGTGAGAAGAGGCCTTAAATCGCTCAGATGATGCTTAGCTTTACTCTAAATATATATAAGTGAAGTAGTGAACAACAGGTCGTCCGTGAATACATGTGTATTAGATATCGCTCAAACAGAAGCATGCACCCTTTTACATACACCTAATAACATATGTGAAGATCCAATCCAACATATAATCTACCATAATCAGATGTGACGAATAATGAAAAAAAAAAGTTCCCCTAGCTAATCAGACTGCAGAGAGTGGATCAATCTTGATGTTCTTCGCCACAAGCGGGTCGGACAACCTGTGCCTGCAGAGCGGGCACATCTCGCTCCTCTCCAGCGTCTTCTCCACGCACGCGCCATGGAACACGTGCCCGCACCTCGGCCACGCCGCCAGCCCGGACTCCATCAGCTCGAAGCAAACGCAGCACTCCTCCTCCTCGTCGTCGGCGGCGGCGATCCTCCTGTTGGCTGGCACCGGTTCCGGCAGGTGCAGCTCCATGACGACGTGGTAGTACAGAGGCCACGGCTCCAGCACCTGGCTCACTAGCTCGCCGCGCATGTGCGCCATGCGCTCCACCGTGTAGTCCTCGCGCCGGAGGATGCCCACGTCCACGATCACCTGGAGACGCCCGACTCCCGAAGGGATGGCGTTAGCCGCCGGCGTCGCCAGCAGAAGGCTCGTCCACAGGTCCGCCAGCTGCTGGCGGAAGAGTCCGGGGTAGATCAGTGAACCCAGAGACGACCCGGCCCAAGCCAGAGAGCTTGCCATGTCGCCGGCAGCACGCGGGACGGCGAAGCGGAGGCGGTGGAGTTTCGTCCTCCTGCACGCCTCCACGCCTCGCCGCCCGCTCCGTGTCCTTGAGAAGCGGGTGTAGCGGTACAACACGAGAATCTCCTTGCTTTCTTGATCCCCGCAGGTGGCCTCCGCGACGGCGGCGATCCGCATGAAGCCGGCGGTGTTCCCGACGACGGCGAACCGCGCCGGTCCAAGAAACTCCCCGTCAGGCACGACACTCCCGGCCGGCGCGGCGACAAGTCTCTTTCTGCTCTCACGAACACTGATCCCGCCGAAGTCCTCGCCGTCCTCGCCGTTGTCGCTATCGTAACGCTCCGCGACGTCCTCCTCGCTCATAGGCTCGTACTCCACCCCTTCGGCCACCTCGTCCTCGTCCTCCTCAACCACCTCTTCCACGTCGTCTACGCCGAGAACAAGAACCGCCTCTACTTCCTCGACGTTGGAAGACTCCGGCGGGCCAAGAACACGGACGTTCAACCGGACAGCGGCCGCCACGGCCAAGTCATGCCGCAGGACGAACTCGCCGCCGAGTACCACCGGTGGCACGGACACGACGGGCTCCTTGGACGACAGCGTCCCGATCGCGCGCTTCTCCTGCCCGACCTCCGCCCACACGTTCACCACGCGCTCGCCGGGCACGTACGCCGGGTCGACCAAGGACATGCCGGTGATGCACAGGCGGCGGCCATCCTCCGACGACATGTGCAACACAGCGCCCTGCGACTGCGATTCCCCCTGCATTTTTGCCTCAGATCAGATGAATTGGTGGTGGTGTGGCCATGCGGTTTTGGCTCGTAGAAATATATAGAGCAAGTTCCTTCCGCGCATCGAATTGCTTCCCGCGTAAAAGAAAGAACGAGTCGGACTTCGAATCGAATCGGACTTGGGTAATTCTCGAATAGATTACGTTTCAGAGAATCAGAGTTGTGAAATCGCATTAGATTACGTTTTCCTACAGCGAGGTGCATCCGAAACTAGAAGTCTATGGGCACTCAGCCGTGCAAATGAATTAGTTTAGATAGCGTGTCAGTTGACACGACGGACCGCGGCCTCGCTCGCTGTTAGCCGGACCGCGATCCGTCATTCACTGGGCCGTTCCCCCTCAACTCCAGTGGCAGCCTCTCTGGAAGACGGGGCACAGTTAGAGACATAGTTATTAGAACCGGATCGGATTGGCGGTCCGACCGGTAAAAGACCGAACCAAAGCCTCAGCCGATCCGGTCCACCTTAAGACTAGTAAGCAATCGAGCCAATACAAGGACATTGAACCATGAAAAAACGGGCAGCCTCTCTGGAAGACGGGGCACAGTCAGAGACTCAGAGGTCACCTGCGTGTGCACCTGTGGCCCTTCGGTAAGGCTGTAGGTTTCCACCCAGCACGACGATCACCCTGCATGCCGCTTCTCTGACGAAGTGTGCCGTCCCCTCGCGCCCTGCTCAAGTGGCAATGGTCTCAGCCCTACTGTCGCCCGAGCAAGGGAAGCCACAGGTCACGCCATCACTGGTAGCGCAGACCACCAAGCTAGGAGCTGATGCACCTACAGAGGAAGAGGCTGCCTATCCACCAGGTTTTAGCTCGGCCGAGCCCATGGCACATGATGGCCTGCTCATTACGCCGCCATGGGACAGCCCTTTGGCCAAGGACAGCGATAACTCTGTTGCACGCCGCCTCAAGAGCTTCACCAAACAAGTGCTAAAGAAAGTTGACTCTCCCCGCTAATTGGTCAGCCTCCCAAGTAGAAGTCACCTGCTAAGCCGGCACCCCCATTGCAAAGCAAGTGGCTGGCGGCTCAGAGCCTCTCTCGAGTATTTGCTTCCAAGCGAGCAGGGCTGGTCCTGAGTTTATTTGGACCTAGAACGAAACTAAAAGTTTGGGCCTTTTATATAAACATGATAATATTACTAGTACTACTCATTGCTAGCATATACACACATATATGAAATGTTACTAATAAGCGGTTAACTGAATGCAAAAACAATATTCATATAAAATAATTTGTATATACATATTAAATTACCTCAAATCTCTAATATTCCTCGATGCGAAGTCATCGATAATGGTGTCAATATCAATCTCATCCAACAATCGCTTCTCAATGCATAATATTGCCAATTCATTTAACCTCTCTTGTGATATTGTAGATCTCAAATAGTTCTTCAACGATTT